TTTTTATCACAGTACTTTAGCTTAACTCTCTGTTCATCACGTTACCGACCATTATGGCTTTTATATGGGGGGGTTTGGTCATGGTAAGCAATAGACAAACAAGTGGGAGAGTCTTCTCACACCATTTACACTTTAGGAATTGTGATCAGGTACTTAATTCTATTCCTGATGGCTCAAATGTCTAGTAGCTTGATATATAGGTGCTAACTCATTCAGTTTTATATATGTATGCATGTATGTATGTATGTGTGAGTGTGTGTATGTGTGTGTGTATGCTGGTACAGGGACCGGGTGCTATCTCTTATTTTCTCTCCAAGCTGGCTTTTTTGCTCCAATTTTATCACTTGAGCTATATCTCTACTTCCAGATTTTGCTCATTAATTGGAGATAGGAGTCTCCTTTCCTTGTTCCAGCTCTTTCTGAACTCCAATCCTCAGATTTTTTGCCACTTGAGCAGCTAGGATTAGAGATGTGAGCCACTAGGATCTGGCTCAGATCAGAACTCTTTTCAGATTCTGACCTTGAGTTCCATGGCTTCTGTTCATCTCCCCGACCTCCTGAATTTGAGTCCTTGAAGTGCATTCTCCAGATAATTCGACCTAATAAGGAACCCTCCAGGACACATTAGCCGAATTTCTGTCTCTGAGGCCCCATGTGTTCTTATTGGACAGGGAAGTGGTAAGATACTATTGCATGGAAAGAATCTTCTGGGTTTAACTATGAAAACTGCACATCTAAATAATCCTTGGGTCCCCTACTGATTTTTTTTTTTTTTTTTTGGTCTGGTCGTGGGGCCTGAACTCTGGGCCTGGGCGCTGTCCCTCAGCTCTTCAGCTCAAGGCTAGTGCTCTACCACTTGAGCCACAGTGCCACTTCCAGCTTTTTTTTTTTTTTTCTGCTTATGTGATGCTGAGGAATGGAACCCAGGGCCTCATGCATGCAAGGCAAGCGCTCTACCACTGAGCCACCTTCCCAGCCCTCTCCTACTGATTTTATTTATTATTATTATTATTATTTTTGTCTGTCGTGGGGCTTGAACTCTGGGCCTGCGGGCTGTCCCTCAGCTCTTCAAGTCAAGGCTAGCACCCTACCACTTGAGCCACAGAGCCACTTCAGCTTTTTCTGCTTCTGTGGTGCTGAGTGATTGAACCCAGGGCCTCATGCATGCGAGGCAAGCACACTACCACTGAGCCAACTTCCCAGTCCCCTGATTTTAACTACCTATTATCATCTCAGATGCCACTATATTATGTTTCCCTAGGCATAAAGCCAGTTTAACATTAGCTTGAGTTGGTTATTTCCACCCAACCAGTTGTAGAACGTGACTGTAAGACTCCATTCCCTTCAGTGTGTTAAGCCATGAGAATGAATGAGCAACACTCAGGGTGATAATTGCCTGACATCTGAGCCAGAGAGAATCTGGGGAGGGAGGGGAAGTGACAGCAATCTACACGTAGATTTACAGCACCTTCACAAAGCACAGCAAAGTTGGCTCCATTTTGGAGCTCTGAAGGAGAATCTGTTCCAGGGCTCTCACCAAGCAATGAATCCTTGCTGACAATCCTTGGTTTGTAGATAGATGCATCATTAAAATCTCTGCTTCTGTTACAATATGCATTCTCCTAGGTAGTGTGTATGTAAGTCCAAACTTCCTCTTCTTTTTTCTTTTTCTTCTTCTCTTTGGTCAACTGTGGGACTTGAACTCAGTCGGGCCTGTGTGCTGTCCTTGAGCTCTTTTGCTCAAGGCTACTACCACTCTCCCACTTTGAGCCAGGATTTTGAACCATAATTCTCAGATCTCAGGTAGGATTACAGGCATGAGCCACCAGTGTCCCGCTCCTCTTCTTTATAAGGCCAGCAGCCACTGGATTGGGGATGATTCCAATTCAGTATGGTCACATTTAAACTCCATTGTGTCAGGAAGTCTTGACTTCCAAATATGGTTACATTTACAGTACTGATGAGTGAGACTTCATTGCATCACTTTGGGGGACAGGATGCAACTGAAAACACTCCTCTTGCCATTCTCCTTCCTAGATGGTTGTGCTGGCCCCTGGCTGTCTTCCTGTTCCGCATCTCTCTTCTGTGATCCCTCTACAACACTTGAACAATCTTCATGTAATGTACAAAGAGTCATTATTTTCCTTCTAGAAAATATTCTTATGACTTCTAAAGACTTAACTACTGATTGACAGGCAATCCCCTTCACAGACTGTCCTCATTAGAGAGCTGGACCCTTTGTCCCAATAGCATAATGGGTACCAGGGACCTGTTCCTCTTATACAGGATCTTAATTGAAGCTTGCCTGGCCTGCCAGGCACTGCTAATTAATTTCCTTTCCTACAGAGCTTGTGAATCATTCTGCTTCTAAGAAGATTGTTTCGGAAAGTTGATTGGATTTCTTGTGCAGTTATTCCTGCAGTTATCCTTGCCTGCTTCCTCAGATGTTGACTTTTTATATTTCTATTTATTTCATAAACTCACTGAAGAAGGCAATAGAGACATTTTTTCGTCAGCCATGGCGCTTGACCTCAGGACCTGGGTGCTGTCCCTAAGCTCTTTTTGCTCAAGGTTAGAGTTCCACCACTTTGAGACACAGCTACACTCTCAGTTTTCTGGTGGTTAGAGATAAGAATCTCACAGACTTTCTTGCCCAGTCTGGCTTTGAACCAGGATCCTCAGATCTCAGCCTCCTGTGTAGATAGGATTACACATGTGAGTCACCAGCACTTGGCTAGAGACTTTTCATTAAATCCATCTACTGTGGCAGAATGACACATTGCTTATGAATTTACTTACTATACACATGTGTGGAGTAGGATGAGTATATCTGTGGGCAGAGAGGGTGTTTTCATTGAGGATAAAGAATAATTATTTTTTATGGATGTTGGTACTTGAACTTAAACTCAGGGCCTTGTGCTTTTGCTTGGCTTTTTCACTCAAGGCTGTCACTCTTCTACTTGAGCCACACCTCCAGTTCTAGTCTTTTTTGTATTGGTTAATTGAAGATAAGATTCTGTCAGATCTGTCTGCCTGGGCTGGCTTCAAACCTTGATCCTCCAATCTCTGCTTCCTGAGTAGCTAGAATTACATGTGTGAGCTACTGTTGCCCAACTGATATTTATAATTCTTATTATTTTATAATTTTTTTTTTTTTTTTTGCTAGTCCTGGGCCTTGAATTCAGGGCCTGGGCTCTATCCCTGACTCTTTCTACTTAAGGCTAGTGCTCAACCATTTGAACTACAGCATCACTTCCAGCTTTTTTCTGTTTCTATGATACTGAGGAATGGAACCCACAGCTTCATGCATGCTAGGCAAGCACTAAGCCACATTCCCAGCCTTATATTATACTTCATTAACTAAGTGCCTTGACGGGAATGCTGGTTCAGATGTTTTTATTATAACGGATGTTTTATGTTGTTGAGTAATTTCTGTTTGTTTGAACTCAGGGCATCAAACTTGCAGGTACAGTAGCTATGCTTTCAGCCCTTTTTTGCACTAGTTGTTATTATTATTGTTGCTGTTGTTGTTGGCTTGAACTCTGGGCTTAGACATTGTCTCTGAGCTTTTCAGCTCAAGGCAAGTGCTCTACCACTTGAGCCACAGTGCCACTTCTGGTTTTCTGGTGGTTAATTGGAGATAAGAGTCTCATAGACTTCCCTGACTAGGCTGGCTTTGAACCATGATCCTCAGATCTCAGCCTCCAGAGAAGTAGGATTACAGGTATGAGCCACCAGCACCTGGAAGGGGTCTTGTCTGCTGTCCAGGTGGTCACTTGGACTGTGATTTATGTATTTTAAGTTTCCTGTTATATCTGGGATGCCAAGTACACAATGCTCAGCTTCTTCTATAGATAGAGACAGAGGCTCACCAAACTTTGCTGCCCAGGCTATCCTGGAACCATAACCTTCTTCTTCATAGCCTTCCACGAAGCTGGGAAGACAAGTGCACGCCACTGTGCCAGCTATGTGTTGAAAGGGAATCTCAAAAACTCCCTTTTATTGGTCAGAGCCTTCAAACCACAGTCCTCAGCCTCTTAAGTAGTTAGGCCTATGTGCATGATCCACTGATGCCTGGCTGGGTGATTTTTTTTTTTTTTTTGGGTCCAGTCATGGGGCCCGAACTCTGGGCCTGGGCGCTGTCCCTCAGCTCTTCAGTTCAAGGCTAGCACTCTACCACTTGAGCCACAGTGCCACTTCTGACTTATTTTTTTCTTTCTGCTTATGTGGTGCTGAGGAATCAAACTCAGGGCCTCATGCATACAAGGGAAGGGTTCTACCACTGAGCCACCTTCCCAGCCCGGTGATTTTATTTTTTAAGTTAGCCCTTTCAGTTACCCAAAGGGAAAGTTTCTGATGCAGCAGAACAATAACAGAGGAAATATAGGTCATCTGGAATATAACACTACAATTTTGGGAGCTTTCAGCTAGTAAAAGGAAATGTAAAAGAGAAAACATGATTTACTTGAGAATGAGATAAAAATCCAATTTAGAGTAAATATAAACTGAAATGAAAAGGGAACAGAAGAAACGTGTAATAAGGCAAGTGGTTAAAAAAAATGAGGAGTAAAAACAAAAAATTCTTAGGAATTAAATGCTATTTAAAGTTTGTTTGTTTTTTTTTCCCCACCTAGATCACCACATGTAGCACATAGTGTTGGTTGGATTGATAATTACATTTCCCTCAAATATTCAAACAAAGGTTTTTGTTTGTTTTTTTTTTTTCTTCCTTTTTGCCAGCCCTGGGGCTTGAACTCAAGGCCTGGGCACTGTCCTTGAGTTTCTTTTGCTCAAGGCTAGCACTGCCACTTAGCTACAGCTCCACTTACAGCTTTTTCTGTTTATATGGTTACTGAGGAATCGAACCCAGGACTTTATGCATGCTAGACAAGTACTCTTACCACTAAACCACATACCCAGGCAAAAATCAGTGTTTTAGATTCTAATCAGAGCTCCCTTCTGGGGTGTTTTCTCTCTAACATTTCTCTCTCTCCAATCAGGTGAAAATGAAATCCTTGCAACTCTCCATGCTATTTCAAGCCAAAACCAGATCTGGAGATCGTATATCGGCATGGGCTATTATAACTGCTCAGTGCCACAAACCATTTTGCGGAACTTGCTGGAGAATTCAGGATGGTAATGTATTTGCTGATTAGAGAACAGAAATACCAGGATCCTTCACCATATGTCTCAGAACTTACACAGTGATACTCAGCCCCACTGCTGTCACTATGCTCCAGGGACCTTACTCAAGTGTTGAGGAAATTGAGCCTTCTTCCCACTGTAGCCATATAAAACCTAGCATTCTAAGTTGTTGGTGCTGATGATTATGTCCTCTTCTATGGCTGAATCTCTATGCTGCCTTTCTGTGGGATGTCAAATCTGTAGGTAGAGAGACTTTCAGTTTTGGATATCCTGAGGTTTCAGGCTATGTCTGAGTTTGGAATTATTTTAGTGAGTCAGTGTAGGAGGGTGGGAGAGAGTGTCAATCCTTTGTCCTTTTCATTGACCTTAAGATGACAGATAACACATCCTCCCTTCCCTAATACTTCAGGGTTCACAACCCACTGAAAATGAAGAGGCATGCATGTAAAATAAATGGACATCATAATACATACCAGCTTTATTATAACACTTGGGGCTCTTAAAAAGATAAGGCCCTGAGCTGTGCATGCTCCATTGATCTTGTCTTCCATATATATATGATCTTGTCTTCCAATCAGATAATTGAGCGAGTGTGCATATGCATGCGCATTGTTTCCTGTTATCTGTGTCCTCTGTGCACACCAGGTCCACGCTGATAGCATATAACTGAATCATTTCTCCTATAATTAAGGAAAAACCCCAAGCCTACTACCAGACTGGTTTGATTTTTCTGTTGCTGTGCTACATGTCATAAAGAATCAAATATAGGTGCATACCCCACCATCAAACAGGAAAACATTGTGGCCATCCCTCCATAGGCTGGGGCTATGGCTCCAATGGTGACAGAAGGCAGATGTGTCCATTGGGAAAGAATGTTTTATGGAAGAACTTTCTTTCCCTCTTTTTTTGGATTAGTGCCATTTTTCATATACGAGAATATTTAAATCGAAACTTTTAAATGATGTCTTAGTCTGCGAAGGAGGAGGTCTTATTTGAGAATACAAGAATATACTTATTTCCAGTGTAGCAATAAAAAAACGGGGAAAAGTAATGTCTTCAGTGGTTTGTTGTTGTTGTTGTTGTTTTATTAAGTTAGTGTTTCAAAGATGGAGCTTGTGGCTCATGCTTATAATCCTAGCTACTCAGGAGGCTGAGATATGAAGATCAAGGCTCAAAGCCAACCCGGGCTGGAAAGTCCGGGAGACTCTTATCTTCAATAAACCGCCAGAAAACGGGAAGTGGTGCTGTCAAGTGGTAGAGTGCTAGCCTTGAGCTGTAGAGCTGAGGGACAGCGCCCAGGCCCAGAGTTTAAGCCCCAGGACCAAGAAAAAAATGAATAAAGTTAGTGTTTAAGGGGTAACTTCAATTTCAAGCTAAGACTTTTTTTTTGCATAGTCTTTAATGGGCTCACACCAGGAGTCTGTGGATCTTAAGAACATCTATGAACTTGTTAATTTTCTTCAATTTTTTTCTGCCTGCTTTCACAGTCTCCTAAGGGGTTTCTTCTTCCAGTAGTGGGAACTTTTTTTTTCAAATTTGTTTGTTTATTTATTTTTGGGTCCCGTCATGGGCCTGAACTCTGGGCCTGGGCGCTGTCCCTCAGCTCTTCAGCTCAAGGCTAGCACTCTACCACTTGAGCCACAGTGCCACTTCCGGGTTGTTTGTTTTTGCTTATGTGGTGCTGAGGAATGGAACCCTGGGCCTAATGCATGCGGGCAAGCGCTCTACCACTGAGTCACCTTCCCAGCCCCCCCCCCCCCCTTTTTTTTAAAAATAAGGATAGAGTGAATGGTTGTCTGTGCAATTCATAGGTTGGTACCAAAAATTCAGAGATTGTGTTTCAGTTTAACACACATAAGAAATCAACTTTTAGTTAATTGAACATCATGCAACTTATCAATAGGAATATTTTTTTGGGGGGGTCGGTCGTGGGGCTTAAACTCTGGACCTGGGTGCTGTCCCTGAGCTTTTCAGCTCAAGGCAAGCACTCTACCAATTGAGCCACAGCGCCACTTCTGGTTTTCTAGTGGCTTATTAGAGATAAGGGTCTCACAGACTTTCCTGCCCAGGCTGGTTTTGAACCATGATCCTCAGCTCAGCCTCCTAAGTAGTTAGGATTATAGGCATAAGCCACCAGTGCCTGGCTGGTATTTATTTTTGTACTGGTACTGGGCATGAATTCCTTTAGCTTTTTCTCTCAAGGCTGGTGCTCTGCTATTAGAGCTACAACTCTACTTCAGCATTTTGGTGGCTGATTAGAGATAAGGTCTCATGGACTTTCTTGGCCAGGCTGGCTTGGAACTGTGGTCTTTAGATCCTGAGCAGCTAGGATTACAGGTATGAGTTACTGGTGCCCATTTCTTTATTCTTAATTTTTGTTAATTTTTTTTTTTTTTTTTTGTTGGTCATGGGGCCTGAACTCTGGGCCTGGGTGCTGTCCCTCAGCTCTTCAGCTGTAGACTAGTGCTCTACCACTTGAGCCCCACTTCCAGCTTTTTCTGCTTATGTGGGGCTGAGGAATTGAACCGGGGGCCTCATGCATGCAAGGCAAACACTCTACCACTGAGCCACCTTCCCAGCTCCAAGTTTATGTTTTTATTATCTTTAAATTGTTGTACAAAAGGATCTCAATTCAACATGTCAATTTATGCGTATAACACATCTAGTACATGTTCCAAATAAACAAACCTGGAGACTTTGATAAATAAACATTTTGACCTTTTGTCTGTTTCTGAAAGTGCACCTATGCTTCTGGATGAGAGAGCCCTGTCCTAGATGAAGTTATTCATGTCACATCTTTGTAGGAACAAATCTAGTAGTACCCCACATCTGCCTTATCATCCTAAGGGAGGATGACATTTGCCAGTCCTGGTGATTGAACTCAGGGCCTGGGCATTGTCCCTTTCACTCAAAGTTAGCATTTGAGCCACTTCGGGCTTGTCTGTTTATGTGGTACTGAGGAATTGAACCCTGGGCTTCATGCATGCTAAGCAAGCACTCTACCACTAAGCCACCTTCCCAGCCCTCAATAAAAGTTTTAATATGTTCAACTTTTTAATCAATAAGATACCAGGACAATAGAGCCATGAAAAAGGGAGTTTTTCTTCTTTTGGAAATATATGAGTGAATACGTTTGCACTGTGACGAGTTCCCTTTTTGTTTCAGTAGTGGTAAAAGTTTGAATGGGAAAGTCCAACATTGATTTCAAAAGCAAATGGACTGTCTCTCTTCTCCCTTAAAAAAGAAAATAATAAAAACAGCCTTTGATGTTCATGAATGGGCTGCCGCATTCCCGCTGTCTGAGTGCTGGCCTGGGGCCTTGGCTCTTGGTGGCCATAAAGAATAGTCCCCATATTGCTCCCTGGCTGTAAGTGCTTTGTTCAATTTGTGTTCATTTACTTTAGAAAGAACCAGCATTTTGGGAGTGAGACTGTCTTCCTTTTTCAGTCTTAGTGGGTTTTTGGGGGTACATTTTGAATATTGTTTTGTTTCATTCTCTGAAATCTGATCTGAACCCAAGACAGAGAGAGAGAGAGGCTGTACTCTGCCACTGCTGATAGGGAGAGGGCTGAACACACGTGGGTGGTAGACCCCACATTATCAGCCTTCTGAATGGTTTCCATAGCAATGGAGCCAACAAATTCCGGTGACGTGACAGGAAAATAAATGGGCCACATAGCCTCGAAAGAATACAAACATTTGGGCTTAAAACAGGAAATTTATACCAGGTCTAGAATTTGTTTCATATGCTTTACTGTTCCAAGTTTTCAACTGCTGATAGTACCAGTAATTAATACCAGAACATATACAATTTTGTTGTGGCTTTCTGTTTTGTATAATTTTGGCAATGAGATTAAAATAAGAGAATCTCATGAATGTTCTCTTGTAACCCCAATTCTTTCCCAATTTCAAAAGTCACAAACAAAAGGTTATGATGATTAGTTTGGAAAAATTGTCGCTACCATGTTGTATATATCAGCATCCTATTTGAGCAAAACTAAAAACAATTAGATATGCAGGTTCTCTCTCTTTCTCTCTCTATCTCTCTCACTCTCTCTCTCTCTCACACACACACACAAACATGGCTTTAAACATGATCTTTTGATCTCAGCCTCTTGATTAACTAAAATTATAGGTGTGACTCACCAGTACCCAGTTCACAGTTTTCTTTATCTTTACTTTGTTCCTTTCTTTTCTTCCTCTGTCCATCCTTCCCTCCCTCCTTCCTTCTTTCTCTCTCTCTCTTTCTCTCTCTTTCCCTTCCTTCCCTCCCACCCTCCCCCTTCCCCTTCCCTTTCCCCTTCCCCTTCCCCTTTTTTTTTCTCCTTTCCCTCCTCTCTCCCCCCCCTTTCCTTTTTCCTTCCCTCCCTTTCCTTCTCCCTCCCTCCCACCGTCCTTCCCTCCTTTCCTTCCTTCCTCTAAGTGCTGGTTCTTCAGTTTGAACTCTGGGCCTGAGCACATCCCTGAGCTTCTTTTTTGCTCAAGGCAGCACTCTAGTACTTGAGCCACAGCACCACTTTCTGCTTTTCTAGTGGTTAATTAAGAGCCTTACAGACTTACCTGCCTGGGCTCACTGGAACCATGATCCTTGGATGTCAGCCTCCTGAGTAGCTAGGGATGAAGGTATAAGCCACTGTCACCCAATTCACAGTTTTCTTTTTTGGTTGGTCATGGGGCTTGAATTCTGGGTCTGGGTGCTGTCCCTCAGCTATTCAGCTCAAAGATTGTGCTCTACCACTTGAGCCACAGTGCCACTTCCGGTTTTCTGGTAGTTAACTGGGGATAAGAGTCTCATGGACTTTCCTGTCCAGGCTGGCTTTGAACTGTGATCCTCACATCTCAGCCTCCTGAATAGCTTTCTTCATGGCAATGATCTTACATAAATGAGGCAAACTTGTAGGCATAATGACAAGCTCCCCTGGAATCAGCATTGTCTTCAGGCCTGAGGATGACTCATCAATGTGAGACTCATAGATCATTGCTTAGGAACACTAATGTTTGTTTATTTTCATAGAGTTAAAAAAACAACAACAACAAAAGCTGGGCACCAGTGACTCACGCCTGTAATCCTAGTTACTCAGAAGGCTGAGATCTGAGAATCACCACCCTGTGCAGCAAAGTCTGTGAACTCTTATCTCCAGTAAATCACTCAGAAAACCAGAAATGGCGCTGTGGCTCACATAGTAGAGCGTTTGCCTTGAGCTGTAGAGCTGAGGGACAGCACCCAGGCCCAGAGTTCAAACTCCACCTACATACACACACAAAAGAAAACAACAAACCCAGTAGACTACAGAGGAAAAAATAAAAGGAGGGAATCATAGGCTTGTCATCTTGTAAAAGAACACTTTTAAAGCTCTTTACCTTTTTTTTTGGCTAGTTCTGAGGGTTAAAGTTTTGGCCTGGGCACTGTGCCTGAGTTTTTGTGCTCAAGGCTAGTGCTCTACCACTTGAGCTACATGTCCTCTTCCAGCATTTTTTCTTTGGGTAGTTTTTTTTTGTTTTGTTTTGTTTCCCATCCCCCACCCCCACCCCTTCTTTTTGGTAGTTTTCAGTAGAGATGAGAGTCTCCCTGACTTTCCTTCCCTGGCTGGCTTCAACGTGTAATCCTCAGATCTCAGCCCTTCTGAGTACCTAGGGTTAGAGTTATGAGCCACTGGCATCTAGCTTTACCTTTTTTGGGGGTCTATCTGTCCGTTGTGGGGCTTGAATTCAGGGCCTGGGTACTGTCCTTAAATTTTTAAACTTAAGGGTAGTGCTCTACCACTTTTGAGCCACAGGTCTACTTCCAATTTTCTGGTGATTAATTGGAGATAAGAATCTCATGGACTTTCTTGCCCAGGCTGGCTTCAAACTATAATGTTCAGATCTCAGCCTCCTGAATAGTTGGATTACAGGCATGAGTCACCAGTGCCTGGCTGCTTTTTACCTTTAACAGTGATAATTAACAACCTGACCTTAGGGTTATAAAAGGTTTCATATAGGCAGGAAGATTGGACAAAAGAGGAAAATAATACATTGAACAGCTGGGAAGTGGCGCTGTGGCTCAAGTGGTAGAGTGATAGCCTTGACCTGAAGAGCTGAGGGATAGCGCCCAAGCCCTGAGTTCAAGCCCCACAGCCCACACACAAAATAAATAAATAAATAAATAAATTGAACAGCTGATATTGCAAGGATAGTAATCTCAGTTGTAAATTACTGACTTCATTAAATTCAGGGCTCTTTCCTGTGGGATGGGGAACCAACAGAGATATTTGAGCAGGAGTCAAATATACACAAATGTATTGCAACTACTAGGTTATTTGTGTTTTTGGGTTTTTTTTTGTCGGTCCTGGGGCTTGAACTCTGGGCCTGGGCACTGTTCCACAGCTCTTCAACTCAAGACTAGTGTTCTACCACTTGAACCCCAGTGCCACTTCCAGCTTTTTCTGTTTATGTGGTGCTAAGGAATTGAACCCAGGGCCTCATGCATGCAAGGCAAGCGCTCTACCACTAATCTACCTTCCCAGCCCCAAGGTTATTTGTATTTTAAGTTCTGTGCCAAGACTGAAAAAAAGTGGATATAGATACAGATACCATCTGAATGTGTGTGTGTGTGTGTGTGTGTGTGTGTGTGTGTGTGTGTGTGTGTGTGTGTGTGTGGATGTGTGTGGATGTATGCATGTGTGTGTATGTTGGTATTGGGGCTTAAACTCAAGGCCTCACACTTGCTTAGCTTTTTTTTTTTGTCGTAGGGCCTGAACTCTGGGCCTGGGTCCTGTCTCTCAGCTCTTCAGCTCAAGGTTAGAGCTCTACCACTTGAGCCACAGCACCACTTCTGGTTTTTCTGGTGGTTTATTGGAGATAAGAGTTTCATGGACTTTTCTGGGCTGGCTTTGAACCATGATCCTCAGATCTCTTTCTGAGTAGCTAGGATTCTAGGTGTGAGCCACTGGTGCTCAGCTTTTGCTTAGCTTTTTGACTGGAATGGCACTCTACTACTAAGCCACACCTCCACCTTCAGCTTTTTGTTATTTAGTAGCTTTTTGCTATTTAGTTGGAAGTAATTCTCTCAGATTGCTTCAAACTGTGATTCTCAGATATCATCCTTTGAATAGTTAGGGTTTACAGGTATGAGTCACCAGCAACCTGACCTGAGTTCTTTTGGAAGAAAGCTTCTCCTTGTTTGTTCTAGATCTAACTATGAATATACTAACCATTCCTATTTATCAGATAAGCTAGCTACTATGTGCCTGTACACATACCTCTGTATGTGTCTGTCCATCTGTCTGCTTGTCTGTCTGCCTGCCTGTCTGTTACATGTGAAATGATGGTTCTGACATTGAGATACCACCTCACTCCAGTTAGAATGGCAAAAATCAAGAACTCTAACAAGAACAGATGCTGGAGGGGATGTGGACAGAAAGGAACCTTACTTCATTGTTGTTGGTGGGAATGTAAACTTGTTCAACCACTTTGGAAAGCAGTATGGAGGTTCCTCAAAAGACTTCACATAGAGCTCCCCTATGACCCAGCAGTCCCACTTTTGGGCATTTACCCAAATGTTTACAAACAAGACCACACTAAAGCTACCAGCACAACTATTTTATTGCAGCATTATTTACCATAGCTAAGATATGGACCCAACCCAGATGCCCCTCAGTAGATGAATGGATCAAGAAAATGTGGTATATATACACAATGGAATTCTATGCCTCCATCAGAAAGAATGACATTGCCCCATTTGTTAGGAAATGGAAAAACTTGGAAAAAATTATATTAAGTGAAGTAAGCCAGGCCCAAAGAAACATAGGTCCCATGGTTTCCCTTATTTGCAATATCTAGTATATGTATGAGTCAAGTGGAAAAGGTCAGATAATGTGATGTTAGGAAAATGAACCCTTAGATATGTATTTTAATGTTTTTTTTTCTTTCATGCATGTGTTTCTAATGCATTTATAAGATTATTTCTTTGTTGCTTTGTATGTCCCTCCCTCACATTATAACCCCTGCTTTCACTATATTTGATGTCAGTATAACTTGTGGAGAAGATGGGGAAAAACAAGTCATTTAAGGATACAGGTGGACCTGTTGCAACAATGAGAAGTACAAGTTGTCAGGTTGAAAACGAGCTTTACAACGTTGGTGGGGGGGGGATGGGGGGTGGGGGGGGAGGCTGGGAAGGGATATGAAGGGTAAACAAAGGAGGAGGCTGCAATGCTTGATAAGAAATGTACGCATTATCCTGCCCATGTAATTATAACCCCTCTGTACAGTATGTCCACAAAAAAAAATAATAAATAAAATAAAATGAAAAAAAAAAAAGAAATGATGGTTCTGAGCCAAATGAAAGCTTCCCGTTAGACAGGTATTCCAACCATATGGCAAGAATAATGTCACATCTGTTCATGGTGGCAAGCCATGTGAAGATCTTGTGTGATTTGAGATCACAACTGCCTGCTGTCTCTGCCTTTTGTATGACCCCATTTCTGTTCACCCTTCCTTTTTAGTTGTGTACATCATGTATTGTGTACCTCATTCATTCCAGTTCACCACCCACTTAGAATCTGGCATACTCTCTGTTGCTAAGCTGGACTGTTCAATGAATTCACTGAAGCAAAAATTTATTCTGTCTATATATGTGTGTATGTGTGTGTGTGTGTGTGTGTGTGCGTGTGCGTGCACATGTATGTATGTGACACACACCAATAAATCAATGATGACATTGTACTGCTTGCTAGTGCATCTTCCCACCATACTTCTTCATCAAGAAACTTAAAATATTAATTTCAAAGCTGTCAAAAAGAAAAAAGCAGGGATGAATGGAAGGAGATTTGCATATTGAACAATTAGGTATTTTGATGTTTTATTATTGAGAGCTATTGAAAAGGATTTTTTTATTTAGAGGAAAGGTAATAGGAGCCAGGTGCTGGTGGCTCACACCTGTAATCCTAGCTACTCAAGAGGCTGAGATCTAAGGATTGCGGTTCAAAGCTAGCCCTGGCAGGAAAGTCTGTGACACTCTTATCTCCAATAAACCACCAGAAAACCAGAAGTGCGCTGTATCTCAAGTGGTAGAGCGCTCATCTTGAGCTGAAGAGCTCAGGGACAGTGCTCAGGACCAGAGTTCAAGCCCCACGACTGACCAAAAAAAAAAAAGAAAGGTAATAGGTAAAATTCCTGTTTATAATATCATAGAGGCTCAATTGAATTTTATGATTTTATTGTTTGCCATAAAACAAATGTAAACAATAAGACTATTAAAATAAGTCTGGTGTGGTGGCACACATCTGTACCAGCACTCTAGGCTAGGTGTGGAGGTGAATTTGAAGCTGGCTTGGACTATATAACAAGTTTTAGCCAACATGAGCTCAATAATAGCATACTGGTAAGCATGCATAAGGCTTTTGATTCAAATCCCAGCACCTCAAGGAAAAAAATAGATACAAGCATAAGTAGGAAGCACAGGATAGCATTGTTGCTATGATTTAATTCTGAGCTTCCTTAAATGAATGTCAAAAAGGAAACTTACTAATGTGCTATATAAGTATCTGTTCTCAAGAGATTTAAGCACTCGATTTTAAAATGCAGGTTTTTTTTTCATGAGCTTCTGTGAACGTAGGAGGAATCATTTAGACCTGGCCTCTGTTTCCTCCTCTGCCCACCAGGATCACCCAGTATACTCCTTACCAGCCAGAGGTGTCTCAAGGGAGGTTGGAGAGCTTACTTAACTACCAGACCATGGTGTGTGACATCACAGGCCTGGACATGGCCAACGCATCCCTGCTGGATGAGGCCACTGCAGCTGCAGAGGCCATGCAGCTGTGCCACAGGTGAGAGACAGCCTGGGATTCCTTCCACAGGGAAACACCTTGCAGTCCCTTTCCTGCTGTGCACATATGCGAGCTCAGTGACTTTCCTCACATACATATGTGTACACACACACACACCCCTAATAAACACATAGGAGTATGGATGGTAGGTATTATCATGGACTTACTGTATCAGTTAACAAAAAGATCTCATATAGTATTTTTTCCCAAGTCACTATTTAACATTATATAATGTTACATAATAAGCCTAGAGTTAAGTCTGAATTCAGATGTGGTATAGTAACCCTTGAATATTATAATCCTGATACGTTATGGTATACTCCCCTCATCTCCAAGAAACCAAAGCCCCTATCTATGCTATCTTCAGTGTAAGGCTTCATCCTTCTTTCTAGCAGGTGACTGCTAGAGCTCTCATTACATCTGATCTCAGGAAGAAACAATGAAGATGTCTAAGTTCTCTCCAGAGTTGCACAAAGCTGAGAATTTTGTGTATAAGGTGCAGGATTTGCTTTGAACTGCTTAGAGTTGATGAGCTACTCACACAGCAAATTCTTGACTTCCTTTCCCCCTTAATTCTCATTCCTAGAGATTTGCATTTAGACTTATCCTTATAAAACAGCATGTGAGTTTAGGTGTATGTGTTTAAATCTCAGTGATTTGTTATCATCATTATCACTGTTGTTGTTATTGTTGGACATGGTACTGAAGTTTAAACTCAGCCTAACCCTAGCAGCCTTGAGCTATTCTCCAGCCCTCATTTACATATATATATTTACACATACACACACACACACACAGACAGTTCCTGTCCTGGGGCTTGAACTCAGAGCCTGGGCACCATCCCAGGGCTTTTGTGCTCAAGGCTAGGGCTCTACAGCACAATTTCTAGCTTTTTAGTAGTTAATTGGAGATAAGATTAGCATGGACTTTTCTGTCCTGATTGGCCTTTAACTGCAATTCTCAGAGCTCAGCCTCCTGAGTAGCTAGGATTATAGGTGTCGGCCACTGACAGCAAACCCCATTTAAGCTTTGACATCTTGTTTCTCCAGATTTATTTAGGCTCAAATTGTAAAAAGTATTGCACATTAGGTTATTATGTTTGTGTCCTTCCAACTCAAATTATGCTATTAAGTTTGCATTTATTACAAAAGTAATATCTGGTGCTAGGAATGTGGTTTAATGGTGGAGAGTAGTTGCCTAGCATGCATGAGGTTCTGGATTCAATTCTTTGGTATGAGATAAACAAAAAATAAAACAAAATTAAAACAGAAGGCATAAAAATATTAGCACCTTAAGGTTATTAAAGCCAGAAGATTAATATTAGATAATAAAAAAGTAATATCAGTATTTAGTGAAAAAAATCCAGTCAGTTGAATGGAATATAAAGTAAAATCTGTCATTTGCTAGTCCTAGTCTCCCAAGGAAGACCTTGTTGAGTGTTCATTTTCTGTATTTCTGGGAAATTAAGTGGCTAGTACAACCTACATCCACATCCCACATATTTTTTTTTCTTTTACCCAGATGTGCTTCTGATACAAACTGTTTATATCCACATATTTTTTTTCCTGGAACCATGGCATGGTTCCTGAGATGTAGGTCCTAGATCCAGCTTTGATCTGTGTATTTCAGTATGCAAAATTTGGGCCATTTTAAAATTGCTAGTTGGTGGTGCTAAATTACTGGTGGTTCACACCTGTAATCCTACCTGTGGAAGAGGCTCAGGTCTGAGAATTGTAGTTTGAAGCCAGCCCCGGCAGGAGAATCTGTGAAACTTTTATCTCCAGTTAGCCAGTAAAAAGCTAGAAGTAGAGCTGTAGCTGAAGTGGTAGAGGGCTAGCCTTGGCACAAGGAAGAGGGTCTAGGTCCTGAGTTCAAGTCCCAGGACCCGTGCACACGTGTCACAAACACACACATAGATTGCTAAATGGGGTTATCTGAGAGTTGGATGTAAGTGGAACCGCAGCAGCTATCACTAGCTAGTAATGAATGACTCAGTACTTTTCCCACTGTGCTTAGACTTGTACTCAGTACCATGTTTGCTTTGCGTTCTTAGACTGAAAAAAAAAAAAGAAACTTTGTTTGCTTATTTATTTATTTAGTCAGTCGTGGGGCTTGAACTCTGGGGCTTGGGTGTTGTCACTGCGTTCTTCAGCTTAAGGCTAGTGCTCTGCCACTTGAGTCACAGTGCCACTTCCGGTTTTCTGGTGGTTAATTGGAGATAAGAGTTTCAGGACTTTCCTGCCCGGACTGGCTTTGAACCATGGTCCTCAGATATCAGCCTCCTGAATAGCGAGGATTATAGGTGTGAGCCACTGGTGTCTGGCTAGAAACTTTGAGATTTAAATGTTCATGTTTGAATGTGCCTTTTTTTTTCTTTTCAACAGACACAACAAGAGGAAGAAGTTTTTTGTTGACCCTCGTTGCCACCCACAGACAATAGCTGTTGTCCAGACTCGAGCCAAGTAATTAATTTTATTTGTGTTTTAAAACTGGGTAATACCATGTTCACCTCTATCATTTCTCTCTTTCTCACTTTCAATCTGAATGGAGGTGAACCTGCTTTAAATGGAGGAGGTTGAGTTTTATTTATTCCTCTCACTTTCATCAGGAAATCTCTCTGGTAAGTACATTGTCACAATTGAGGGGGACATGCATGGTGGGCTTAGTTGCCTTGCTTTATGTTTTTGTTTTGTTTTGTTTTGTTTTTTGTGCTTGTCCCAGGTCTTGAACTCAGGACCTTGCATTCTCCCTTAGCTTTTTTCTCATGGCTGGAACTCTGCCTCTTGAGCTATACTTCCACTTTGAGCCTTTTGCTGGTTTATTGAGGATTAGAGTCACTAAGATTTATCTGCCAAGACTGGCTTCAAACTGCAATGTTTAGTCCTAAGCCTTCTGAGTAGCTAGGATTGCAGGCATGAGCCACCAGAGCCTTGCCTTGCCTTTCTCCTTTCCTTTCCTTTTTCCTCCTCTTTTCCTTCCTTCCTTCCCTCCTTCTCTCCCTCCCTCCCTCCCTCCCTCCTTCCTTCCTTCCTTCCTTTCTTCTCCCCCCATCCCCTTTCTTTATGGGGCTTGAACTCAAGGACTGAGAGCTGTCCCTGCTCTTTTTCACTCAAAGCCAGCACTCTACCACTTTGAGCCACAGCTCCACTTCCAGTTTTCTGGTTAATTGGAAATAAGAGTCTCATAGACTTTTTCTGCCCAGGCTGGCTTTTAACTATGAGCCTCAGACCTCTGCCTCCTGAGTTGCTAGGATTACGCCAGTGCTACCAGTGCTAATGCCTGGTTTTCCTTTGTTTTATAGTAAGTTGTAGCATGGTTTCATCTTCTTGGCTTTTTTTTTTTTGGATCCGGTCGTGGGGCCTGAACTCTGGGCCTGGGCTCTGTCCCTCAGCTCTTCAGCTCAAGGCTAGAGCTCTACCACTTGAGCCACAGCGCCACTTCCGGCTTTTTTCTTTTTGCTTATGTGGTGCTGAGGAATCGAACCCAGGGCCTCAGGCATGCAAGGCAAGCGCTCTACCACTGAGCCACCTTCCCAGCCCGGTTTCATCTTCTTGTAAAAAGAAAATTTGAAATATTAAATTCTTCTAGCTGTGGTGGCATATGTCTGTAATTCCAACACACAAGAGGCTGAATCAGAAAGACTGAAAGTTTGAGATTTGCCTGGGCTGTATAGTACAATAAGTTCTAGACTAGCCTGGGCTACAGAGACAGATTCTACTCAAAATTAAAAAAAATCATTTCAACAGCATTTTGGAAAGTTAGAAAAACAGAAGGAAAAAAATTGTGTTTAATTTATGTATATTTCCTACCAATGTAGTTCATATCATGGCCATGAGTAGATTCAAGTGTGGTACATTTGTTTAGTACTACAATCAGCTAAAACAGACTCTACACAATTAGCCACTGAGTATCATATTTGCTTTCTTCTTTGGAAACCCACCTCACCATGACAGAGGGGGTTTCTGGCATGTGATTATCACTTGAGGCCTTTAGGAATCCCAGGAAGTTCTTCCTCATCTTCCAGAGGTTTTTCCATTCATCTAAGACTAATGACTGATGATGATTCTGTTCATCTGTTGGGCTTTTCGCCCTGGGAAGTGATGCCCTGGACCCTCTCTCAGGAGTGGGTTCTGACAGGAAAGGCTAATGGGAAGGGGAATGGTCAGCGAAGAAGAGAGAGATCTAGCTGAGGCAGTGGTTTGGGGTGAAGAGAGGCGAGGTGTGGGATGACACTGAGAGAAGGCCCAGAAAATGAACGCTCTTTTACTGAAAAGAAATGGTAGGTTTTATTTTTATACAATGAAGCCTGTTTGTTCTTTGCTCTCTTTCTAGATATAGGGGAGTCCTTGTTGAGCTGAAGTTACCCCATGAAATGGACTTCAGTGGAAAAGACGTGAGTGGAGTGTTATTCCAGTACCCCGACACTGAGGGGAAGGTGGAAGACTTCACAGAGCTCGTGGAAAGAGCGCACGAGGCTGGGGTAAGCAGACTCCTTTTGTGGGGGCTCAGGGTGGTCTATTGCAGTTTTTATGTTTGTCTTTGGGTGTATCTTCGTTTCTTTACCATTATCACATGGAATGGTGGAATTCTCCTTCCTATTTCTTTCTCTTCCTTTATTCAGGCCACTGGTTTCCTGGCACATTGTAGGGACCCGTAAATGTTAAAGGAGTACACAGGCATACAGAGTTTCCTGAATGTGAACTCAGTCACTCTGCCTGAGTTAACATTATTCTCTGTGTGTTCTCCATCTCTTCTCTGCAAAGGTAACAACCCTTTGACCCCTTCTCTCATTTCCTTTTCAGAGCCTGACCTGCTGTGCTACTGACCTTTTGGCTCTGTGTATCTTGAAGCCCCCTGGAGAGTTTGGGGTGGACATTGCCCTGGGTAGCTCACAGCGGTTTGGAGTGCCACTGGGCTATGGGGGACCACATGCAGCCTTTTTTGCTGTCAGAGAAAACTTGGTGAGGATGATACCTGGAAGGATGGTGGGGGTCACCAGGTAAAGCAGCTCCTGCTTCCTCTCTTTTATTATGGGTATGATCTTTGTGGGTCCTCTTTTTTTTGTCAGTCATGGGGCTTGAACTCTAGGCCTGGGTGCTGGCCCTCAGTTCTTCAGCTCAAGGCGAGCACTCTACTACTGGAGCCACAGTGCCACTTCTGGTTTTCTGGTGGTTAATTGGAAATAAGAGTCTCATGGACATTCCTGCCTGAACTGGCTTTGAACCACGATCCTCAGATCTCAGCCTCTTGAGTAGCTAGGATTATAAGCATGAGCCACTGGTGCCTTGCTAACTGAGTCTTCTCATATTTATGAATTATATTAAACATTTAGAGAAAAATGGTAAGACTATTAGCATTCCTTTTTCTTTTGTAATGGACATTGTCTCTGTATTTCTGGTACAGAAACTCTATTTTCTCAGGGATCTATTTCCCTTTTTTCTGTGTCTGCCAAGAAGGTTAGGGTGAATTTTAATCCTGTCACCATCATTCTATTAGGTTGGTTTATTTCTAATACATCCTTCACTGTTCCTAGCCTTTTATATATATATATCTCAGTGCTTTGAAGATGGTTTGGGAACTGTTATGAATTTACCTTCAAATAACTTCACTGAGTTCACTTAAGCTAAGAAGGAAAGATGCTTGTTCATTGTGGCAAATCATGGTGCTGGGATTATCTGTGCTGACCATATGTAATTGTCTTGGTCCAGAGATGCCACTGGGAAAGAAGTATATCGACTTGCTCTTCAAACCAGGGAGCAACACATCCGAAGGGACAAAGCCACCAGCAACATCTGTACAGCCCAGGTAAATCACATCTGACCTCATGGTTCCCAGAGCTGAGTTTGTTGTAAACTGAGAAAAGAGATGCCACATTTTGAGAGGTCGAATCTTGGAGTCTTTATTAAAAGGCCAGTGACTCTGTGGTGGACTCCTGTCTCCAAGACCAGCAGCCAGCAAATACATTAAACATTGTTAGGAAACTGAGCCATGAAGGCCAGAGATGAGAGAAAGAACAAAAACAATACCAACAAACCAACTGGGACACCATGGTGACTGGAGAAGATCCAGGAGACAGGACATAAACACCAAGATATATGGCATGGGGTAATGGTGCTTGAGCTGGTCCAGGCCTAAATAGGGTCAGGTCAGGGGGCAGGGTCACAGGAAACTCCCTATTCCCAGGCACAGGACTGACAGGTTTAGTAATCTGTCATCCAAGCACCTGCCCCTGCCTCCAGGGATTTGGGCACACACGTTACCTGGGAGGTCCGGGCTTCAACTTCCTCCATCATGAAGACAAGATGCCAAACCCTACCATCCACCATGTGGCCAAAAGGCGCTGGGCAGAGCCAGTCTCCCTATTTCAAGTTCATCACCCATTCCTTCTCGTGCTGATCCACTGAGCAGGGGACATCCCAGAAATGATAAGATCTTAGTAGTTGGATAAGAGTATGGTCTTACTAGAACCAAAATAACATTGTTTTTCTACTGCTGCATGTACTATCTTTTAACTTTTTAACAAACTTCCACATTATTTTCAAAAATAGCCATACCGTTTTACTAGGTAAGTACTCTACCGCTTGAATTATGCTCCCAGTCCACCATTTTCCATTCCTATTACCAGTCCTGGGTTGGCTTCAGTTCATAGCTGTGAGGAATGGGAAAGGGAAGGGAAATGATTCCATGGTGCCTGCAGTAAGGCAGTTCTTAGTATGGGTCAGGGAGGCTGGTGAGTGTTCTTTTAAGTCATTTCCCATCAGTATGAGGTTCTGAGTTGTTCACAGTTCACCATTAGTTTTCTCTATTTTTTGTGGTTTTTGTTTGGTTTTGTTTTTTTTGTTTTTGGTCATAGTCATACTAGTGAGTGAATATTTAATTGCAGTTTCAATTTGCATCTCTAAAAACAATAAGCATTTAAAACATTTTCATTATTTGTTGTCTTTAAGAGATTCTAGATTCAATTTTTACCTTATTTGTCAAAATATTTGGAATTTCTTGGTCTTTATTCCTTTGATCCTTTGATACTGTAATGCCCTGTGAAGGTTTTAATTTCTTCCTCTGTTCTTCCCACCCCCATCTTCTTTTTTTCTTTTCTTTTTTTATCTAACACAGATTTGTTTTGCTATGACAAAGTTATGGAGAAATAGAAAAAGAGAAACATGTAAGGTACCAGTGGCTCACACCTGTAAACCTAACTATTCAGGAGGCTGAGATCTGAGGACCACGGTTCAAAGTCAGCCCGGGGAAGGAAAGTTCCTGAGACTTTTATCTCTAACCACCAGAAAACTGGAAGTGGCACTGTGACTCCAGTGGTAGAGCACCGGCCTTGAGCTAAAGAGTTTAGCGACAGTGGGCTGGGAAGGTGGCTCAGTGGTAGAGCGCTTGCCTTGCATGCCTGAGGCCCTGGGTTCGATTCCTCAGCACCACATAAGCAAAAAGAAAAAAGCCGGAAGTGGCGCTGTGGCTCAAGTGGTAGTGCGCTAGCCTTGAGCTAAAGAGCTGAGGGACAGCGCCCAGGCCCCGAATTCAGGCCCCACGACCAGACAAAAAAAAAAAAAAAGAGTTTAGCGACAGTGCCTGGGCCCAGAGTTCAAGCCTCACAACCAATAAAAAAGAAAACAAGCATTTCCTCTTTCATGCAGGAAATGGGAGTTCAAGACTCAGAATGACAGCTGTTAACTTGACAGCTGTTAACTTGCTGCCTTTGTTCTTTCTGAGCTGGGGGGGGGCGCTGGGGGGAATATACTTGGTCTGGTCTCTTTAACTCCCCCTTTCACCCCTGGAGGAAGGCTCTGAGTAAGATAGGCAGGGCTTTCCCTTGCCTAACTTGCCTTTTGTTCTTTATATTTTTACCCATTCTTGTAAAGTTCCCAGATATTTACCATTTCAATGGAGAAGGTTGATTTAGATAGTACCTTATCTTGCACCTAATGGTTAACATTTAAAAAGAGATATACAAGGTGGAGACTTCATCTTTTTTTTCTAGTTTATTTCTTAGTTTTTCTTTTTGTGTTTGAATCTTGTGATAGTTACTAAAAATAGTCTAATTTGCCTGTCTCCACCTTATCTATTCTGCCTCTTCTCCCCTAAACAACTGTGTCTCCTTTTAATTTTAAAAGGCAAGCAGAAACAGCCAGGTGCCTGTGGCTCTTGCCTGTAATCTTAGCTACTAAGGAGGCTGAGATCTGAGGATCCCAGTATGAAGGCAGCCTGGAAGGAAAGTGAGACCCTCATCTGGAAATGGTTAAAGCTGTGGAAGTGCTAGCTAATCTTTTCTGTCCAACTAAAGTGCCTCTGTTTTATAACATTTCCCTGAATGACTTGCTTTTTGACTATTACCTGTGTTGTTTGTGGCCAGCAGCCACTGAGGAACGTGAATCTTGTATCAAAGGAGTTGACAGAAGGAATTGTAATCACCAGGTGTGCTGCTTGAGATCAACTAGCGGAGTTAGGGAGATAAATTTTTATCAAAGGAGTTAAAAGAACAAACTAACTGCCCAGTCTGTACTGCTTGTTAGAAAGAGCAGTCTTCATCAATGGAGTTAAAAGAAGTAAAACCCCTTTCAAGGAGCTTTCCACCGAGCTTACCAGCCTCTTACAACTGTATCTGCCAGCCACCCTTGTTCCCAGCCCTGCTCCTCTCCAGCTGTAATGGAACAAAAATTGTAAACCTTGGGGGAAAAAAATTAAAGAACAGTCCTCTTCCTAACCTTGGTGATCAGGTATATTTATTTGTTTTTTTTGTTGGTCGTGGGGCTTGAACTATGGGCCTGGGCGCTGTCCCTCAGTTCTTCAGCTCAAGGCAAGCACTCTACCACTTCAACTACAGCGCCACTTCCAGTTTTCTGGTGGTTTATTGGAGATAGGAGTCTCGCGGTCTTTCCTGCCCATGCTGGCTTGGAACCGTGATCCTCAGATTTCAGCCTCCTGAGTAGCTAGGATTACAGGCGTGAGCTACCAGCACCCGGCTTGATCAGGTATATTTAGAATGTGAGCCTAACTCCTTGACACAGGGGAGGGCAATTTGGATATGGATAAAATCCTAGCAAACTGCTCTTCCCAGTGCACCTGCCTAACTCTGGGGAGAGTGATGGTATTGCACCCTTATGCACAAAAGCAAATTGCCTTGATGAAATCTCTTCTATCTCATGCGTGTCTCTTCATTTCTGACACTGGAGAGTAATTGTGTATTTCTAACAATTGGAGATAAGAGTCTCCTGGACTTTCCTGCCCTGTCTTAGCCTCCTAAGGAGCTAGGATTACAGGTATGAGCTACTGGTCCCTGGCTTCAGTTGAATTTGAAATTGAGGTTGTCACTCTCAGGACCAAGAGATAAAAGTTTATTCTACTTAGAAAGGAGTTAGGTGGAGGCATGGTTCAGGTGCTAAAGTACCAGCTATTGAGCAGACGTGTCAAGAGTTCATGCCCCCGTAGAAATTAGTAACAATTATTAAAAAGAATGTATCTCCTTATATATGGATAAAGTTGATAAGCTATAAAAGAATCTGACAATTGCTTTGTGCAAAAATAACTCAGTAGATTGATAGCTATTATAAAAAGCTATACCAAGGAGCTCATGAAACCTTCAAGCTATTTATATTATGCTTTTTTAAAAAAATTGTCAGTCATGAGGCTTGAACTTAGGGTCTGGGTGCTGTCCCTGAGCTTTTTCACTCAAGACTAGTAATGTACCACTTTGAGCCACAGTGTCACTTCCAGTGTTTTCGAGATAAGAGGCTCATGGACTTTCCTGATTGGGCTGGCTTTCAACTTCGATCTTCAGATCTCAGCCTATTTTTTTTTTTTTTTTTTGGTCGAGTCATGGGGCCTGAACTCTGGGCCTGGGCACTGTCCCTCAGCTCTTCAGCTGAAGGCTACCACTCTACCACTTGAGCCACAAGCGCCACTTCCGGCTTTTTTCTTTTTGCTTATGTGGTGCTGAGGAATCGAACCCAGGGCCTCAAGCATGCAAGGCAAGCGCTCTACCACTGAGCCACCTTCCCAGCCCCTCTCAGCCTCTTAAGTAGCTAGGATTACAGATGTGAGCTACTGGTGCCCTGCCCGCATTATTATTATTATTATTATTATTACGATTATTATTATTTTGTGCCAGTACTGGGACTTGAACTCAGGTCATTGAGTGTTTTTTGCTCTGGCACTCTACCACTTGAGCCCTATCTCCAGTCTGGCATTTTGCTGGTTAGTTGGAGATAGAGTAACAAAGACTTTTCTGCTGGGGCTGTCTTTGAACATTGACTACCAGCTCTCACCTGGCGTTCTTAATTATTAAATTTAACATTTTATTTTTTCGATGCTGGGGATTGAAGAGAGGACTAGTGTGTGCCAGGCACACTACCAATAAACTACAGCCCAGCGTCATTCATCTTGTCTGAAACTCAGCCTCAATTGTTTTATTTAAGGTGTTAGGTTAAGTTAGCTGAAGTGTATTCCCTGAGTTGAGTCATTTGGAAGTTGCTTGCTGCTTTATTCTTGAGGACTGAGTGTAAAATTCTCAGCTCTCACCTTCCATCTTCACATCTGTTGCTCCACCGGCTTTGAATGTGTATACTGCCTTTTGTGCTTGGAGCAGACTATTCTTCCCTATTGTGAATCTGATTATGTTGCAGCCTCCAACCCTCCGCGCAGTGGTTAAATTTGAGGGTAGACATGCACTTTTCCCAACGATCACAGGGAAGGCAGAAAAAGGAGCAATTTGTTTTGTTCCTGTTTTTAGTTTTGCCATCTTAAGACCTATGATTTCTCCTTGCCATCATTTTTTGGAGGGGGAGAGCTGGGGTTCTGTTGTGGGACTTGAACAGGGCCCAAGTGCTGTGTCCTCAAGGCTAGCACTCTATCACTATGAGCCACAGCACCAACTCTTGGTTTTCTAGTGGTTAATTGGAGATAATAGTCTCACGGACTTTCCTGCCTGGGGCAGGATCCTCAGCTCTCAGCCTCCTGAGTAGCTAGGATTACAGCCGTGAGCCACTGATGCCTGGCCTTTTTTTTTGGGTCGTGGGGCTTGAACTCTGGGCCTGGGCACTGTCCCTCAGCTCAAGGCTAGTGCTCTACCACTTGAGCCACAGTGCTACTTCTGGTTTCTGGCGGTTTATTGGAGATAAGAGCCTCACAGACTTTCCTGCCCGGGCTGGCTTTGAACCATGATAGTCAGATCTCAGCCTCTGAGTAGCTAGGATTACAGGCATGAGCCTTTGTGGGTTTTTTTTTTTTTTTTTTTTTGGTCCAGTCATGGGGCCTGAACTCTAGGCCTGGGCGCTCTCCCTCAGCTCTTCAGCTCAAGGCTAGTGCTCTACCACTTGAGCCGCAGCGCCACTTCCAGCTTTTTTCTTTCTGCTTATGTGGTGCTGAGGAATCGAACCCAGGGCCTCAGGCATGCAAGGCAAGCACTCTACCACTGAGCCACCTTCCCAGCCCCAGCCTTTGTGTTTTTTAATCACATTTTTGTACCTGATTCTTTATTCTTTTAGGCCCTCCTGGCAAATATGGCTGCCATGTTTGCCATCTACCATGGATCCCACGGGTTGGAGCATATTGCTAGAAGGGTACACAATGCCACTTTGATTTTGTCTGAAGGTAAGTCCAATATCTGCTTTTGGCATAACAAGACTGGTAAATTTGATACAGTTGAAAACTTGGAACATAACCAATACTGATTGCAAAATTAAAAGTCAGATGAGAACATTTTTATTATCTATGATAGACTAAGTATCAATCTTAGGATATATAGGATTCTGATTCTCTTCTCCCTCCTAAAAGAACAAAAAGAATGAATGCTGTGATGGAAAAAATGAACACAGAACACTTAGAAAGAAAGAAAAATGCTCACTTCTGTAATCCTAGCTACTTGTGAAGCTGAAATCAGAGGATCACTGTTTGAAGTCAACCAGGGCAGGAAAGCTTGTGAGATTCTTACTTCCAATTAAGCACCAGAAAAGTCAGAAGTGGAGCTGTGGCTTGTGAGTTAATTGGAGATAAGAGTCTCATGGACTTTCCTGCCCAGGCTGGCTTTATATCAGAATCCTCAGATCTTAGCCTCCTGATTGTTATAGGTGTGATCTACCAGCTATTTAATTTTTTTCTGAACTTTAAAAGCTTGTACAAGTTCTTTATAATTTAACATGTTCATTTAAATGTTCAGTACTTCTTGGTGGAAGTCACCCCTTATATCATGTATTTAACTTATTTTTAAAGTATGCATAGGAACACTGGCCAGGATCAAGAACAGCCTATAGTAGAAGTTACCTCTTTATTTCTTTATGAAATAAAAGTAGCCATGGAGCTGGGTGCTGTACTTGAGGCTAGTGGTTCTCCTATCTTCTACAGGTCTCAGGCGAGCAGGGCATCAACTCCAGCATGACTTATTTTTTGACACCCTGAAGGTTCAGTGCGGCTGCTCAGTGAAAGAAGTTTTGGCCAGGGCTGCTCAGCGGCAAATCAATTTTCGGTTATTTGAAGATGGCACAGTAAGTCAAACTTTCAGTATCTTTACCAGTTATACTTTCCTGTGTTCTCTTCATAAAATCTTGGCTATTTACTTAGATTTTTTTTTTTATTTGATCACTATCTTAATTTTTTGGTAAGCAGTTTTCATGCCTAGTTTGGAATACTATGACCTTGTCAAATAAAACACAAAGACTTATTTTCAACTTTCCTCAAGACTGTGTGTTTTCACAAAATTCCCAAAACTGTTCAAGATACTCACACAAGTGATCTGTGATACAATAATGTAAATGTAGGCTAGAAGAGGTTCAACATACTCTGTTCCAGTGGGTATGTATTTCAGTCACTGCAGATGTCTAAGCCATGTGAAGTCTGGTCTGGTGTAATTCCTTTCCCATAAGGCTCAACTTGCACATAATGCCACCCTGATGCCTTGGAATAACTGAGGACTTTTTAACTTAAAATTCTTATTGTAAAGGCGATATGCAGAGAGGTGTGTAAGTACAGGTATGTAAGACAGGTAATGGAGCTTATTCTTTGTAATCAATGTTTACTTACTTAATTTATTTTTTGCCAGTCCTGGGGCTTGAACTCAGGGCCTGGGCGCTGTCCCTCAGCTCTTCAGCTCAAGGCTAGCGCTCTACCACTTGAGCCACAGCACCACTTCCGGCTTTTTTCTTTTTGCTTATGTGGTGCTGAAGAATCAAATCCAGGGCCTCAGGCTTGCAAGGCAAGCGCTCTACCACTGAGCTATCTTCCCAGCCCTATTTAATTTAATTTTTTGTTTTTTTGCCCGCATGGGAGCTTGAACTCAAGGGCTTCACATTTGCTCAGTTTGTGTGCTTGGCTGGTGCTCTCCCAATTAAATCATGCCTCTAGCTAGCTTTTCTGCTAGTTAACTGGAAAAAAGAGTTTCGTGAAATTTTCTGTGACCTGCAGTCCTCTAGCTCTCAGATTCCTGAGTAGCTAGGATTACAGGCATGATCTACCTTCTTCAGGCATGACTGAGAATTTTAGTCTCTGTGATGGCACTTCCACGTGAAGTAGGGAGACTGGATCTAAGTAATCACCTGGCTCTCACAAGCCATCCTGGTGCCTAACTGGGTGATAGGGGCTGTCCACCCAGCTCCAAAGACCTAGAGGTGAGATAAGCTGTCCTTTGAATTGCAGATGTCTAGCTCAGTTGATAGAGCAAGGAGAGCTCTATTTCAGAGGATATGCAGATGTATCATGTTACAAGGTGACATTACTTAGACCTGGTCTCCTTACTACACACTGATCTTGGAGTTTAGAACTGATGGTGCCCATTTGCTTCTGTTTCTGTAGCTTGGTATTTCCTTGGATGAAACAGTCAATGAAAAAGATCTAGATGATTTGTTGTGGATCTTCGGTTGTGAGTCATCCGCAGTAAGTAAAATAGACACACACATTCTTTATAATGACTGTTAGAGATAGCATCAAAGATTGTTTTAACTCTCGTAGTCCTGACTTTTAGGAGGTAAGTTCAGGTATGAAACTAGGCAGCCCCCAGTTCAACTTATGGCAGTGATTGACCTTTGTTCCTTCTGACATCAATGACCTATTTGGAAGGATTATTAATAGTGCTTAATTGAAATTATCCCAAATACAAGATTAATGACATTGGCATCTTGTTTCAAATCAGTTCTGGGTAAGATATGATGCTTATTCATTTAATAAGTAATTATTGGGGACCTAATATGTGCCAGGAACTATGCTACTGCTTGAGACTACGGAGATGAATATATGTGTGTGTGCATGCGTGTGTGTGTGCTGGTGTGTGTGTGTGTGTGCGCGCGTGCGCACATATCGCCTTTACAATAAGAATTTTAAGTTAAAAAGTCCTCAGTTATTCCAAGGCATCAGGGGTGGCATTATGTCCAAGTTGAGCCTTATGAGAAAGGAATTACACCAGACCAGACTTCACATATATATACACATATATACACATATATACAAATATATATGTATATACATATATATATATGTTGGGTCTTCGTCCGTCCCACGAAAGACGGACGGGGTCCGAGGAAAGGTAAGTGCGGCGCTCGCCCGTTCCCTAGCCTCCCTCAGCCCAGGAGACAATCAGACACAGCGGGGAGCCAAATCCAGCAGGTAGAAAAACTCGTTTATTAACAGAGAGCAGCCCCTTTTAAAGACAACAAGGGTGGGTGGTATGGTAAGGGAGGAAGAGGAACCAATCACTGTCAAGGTCACACCCTATCATTCACCTGAGCCCTCACGGGCTGGTTAGGCACTGATCAGAAGATCAATTGGGGTCTGCCCACTCAACCCCTCCCAGAGCCATCTTGACTGGCCATGTGCTCTCCAGTAAATTAGGCTCTGCCCACTCAACCCCCTCCCAGCGCCATCTTTGCTGCCCATGTGCTCCACATATATACACATATAAATAAATGTATTAATACACAGATACATATATATACACATGTATGTGATAGTTTAATTTTTGTGTGTGTGTGTGTGTGTGTGTGTGTGTGTGTGTATCCTGGCCCTGGGGCTCAGTTACTGTCCCTGAGCTGCTTTTGCTCAAGGCTAGCACTTACCACTTAGTCACAGCTCTACTTCTGGATTTTTTTTAGCAGTTAATTGGAAATAAGAGCCTCATGGGTTTTCCTGCCAGGCTGACTTTGAACTGATATCCTCAGGTATCTGCCTCTTGAGTAGCTTGGATTATAGGTATGAGCTATAGGCACCCAGCCCCAAATGTTTTTAATTAATGGAATACATTTTATCTATTTTTCTTTTGTTGCTCATGTTCTTGATGTCATATTTAAGAACTATTATCACCATTCAGGGTCCTTTCTTCCTTCCTTCCTTCCTTCCTTCCTTCCTTCCTTTCCTTCCCCCCCCCCCCTCTCTCTCTCTCTCTCTTTCTTTCTTTCTTTCTATCTTTCTCATGAGGCTTGAAGGAAGGGCCTGGGCACTGTCTCTGAGCTCTTGCTCAAGGCTAGCACTGTACAACTTGGAACCACAGCACCACTTCTAGTTTTTGAGTGGTTTATTGGAGATAAGAGTCTCACGAAGTTTCCTGCCCAGGCTGGCTTCCAACCATGATCTTCAGATCTCAGCCTCTTGAGTAGCTAGGATTACAGGCGTGAGCCCTGGTGCCTGGCTGCATTTTGTCTTTTTTTTTTTTTTTTGTCTGTCGTGGGGCCTGAACTCTGGGTGCTGGGGCCTGGGCTCTGTCCCTCAGCTCTTCAGCTCAAGCCTAGCGCTCCACCACTTGAGCCACAGCTCCACTTCTGGCCTTTTCTGCTTATGTGGTGCTGAGGAATTGAACCCAGGGCCTCATGCATGCTACGCAAGCGCTCTACCACTAAGCCACCTTCCCAGCCCAGCATTTTGTCTTTTAAATGAAGTCTGTAATTCATTTTGTGTGATTTGTGGCCTAGCTTCCTGGAAGCCTGGATGTCCGCACACATTTCCAGGTATAACTTCTGTCGTTGAGCTTCTGTGGTCTCTCCATATAGGAATTGGTGGCTGAAAGCATGGGAGAAGAGAGAAGAGGTATTCTGGGGTCTACATTCAAGAGAACCAGCCAGTTTCTCACACATCAGGTGTTCAACAGGTTTGTGTGACTTGATTACTTTCATATCTTTTGTCTTGGCACAAGCTAGGGAGCTCCTTGGGGAGCTACTTCTGACAGCAACCATTATGTAGCTTAGGTTATTGTGGCTTAGCTATGGCTCACTGGTAAATCAATATGCCTCATTGAGCCAAGCATACCTAGTTTCCTGATGGGTATTTTCTGCTGGCACAGTAAGTTCATGTAGAGAAGAATTTGTAGATGAAGTTGGCCAAGCTGAATTTTCTCCTCCAGAATCTTATATCCTCTTCTTTCCAACCTTCCTCTTTTGCTTAAAAATAGCTTTTTTGTTTGTTTTTGGCTGGTTGTGGGGCTTGTACTCAAGGTCTGGATGCTGTCCTTAAGCTTTTGTGTTCAAGTCTAGCTCTCTGACACTTTGAGCCACAGCTCTACTTCTGGCTTTCTGGTGGTTAATTGGATAAGAGTCTCATGACCTTTCTGGCCTGGGCTGGCTTCAAACTGCAATCCTCAGATCTCAGCCTCCTGAGTAACTAGGATTATAGGTGTGAGCCACTGGCACCCAGCTTCTGATGGCTTCTTTTCATCAGCCATCCTCTGAGGTCTGTGGGGGTATAGGCCCTTTCTTCAGATGTAGTTGACATGTTTGCCATGGTCACAATTGCTCTTTATTTTGAAGATAGATCTCAGTGTGTCTTACTTTCATGAGGATGTGTGTGGTTCTTGTCTAATTTTCTTGGCCCTAACCTCGTGTTTTATATCCACAGCTATCATTCAGAAACAAATATTGTCCGCTACATGAAGAAACTAGAAAACAAAGACATTTCCCTTGTTCACAGCATGATTCCACTGGTAATTGTTTTTGACTTTCTATTCACCTCTAGTCCTTATCTTGCCCAGACTCCTTTGAATCATATCTCATGCTACAAGAGGGAAAAGAGGTGGCTGGCTGTATGGGGAGACGGTGGGGTTGATACATGGACTGTAGGAAATCACTAATGTGATACATTTTGCCTGTGTTTCCTAAAGGGATCCTGCACCATGAAGCTCAACAGCGCCTCTGAACTGACAGTAAGTAGCCTCTTCTCTGAAGAGGGTACTTTCTGGGGCAGCTTTCCAGTTACTAAAGACGAGTTACCAGGACAGTGACTTCATAAGTGCTTTTTCTGAATTTTTTTTTTTTTTGATACCAGTCCTGGGACTTGAACTCAGGACCTAGGTGCTGTCCCAGAGTTTCTTTTTGCTCAAGGCCAGCCCTCTACCATTTGAGCCACAGCACCACTTTTGGCTTTTTCTGTGTATGTGGTACTGAGGAATCAAACCCAGGGCTTTATGGATGCTAGGCAAGCCCTCTACCACTGAGCCACATTCCCAGCCCAATAAGTGCTTTTTCTTAACCTTGTTCCTCAATCCTATGAGAATGCCTCGCAGTTCTCACACTTGCTAACTAATTATTAATAATTACTATTATTGATAGTAATAACATTATTGTTGATTATAATCAATTAGTAATGAGTAATTAATGTTGTTACTATTTTAGGTGGACTTCGCTGTATTGCCCAGCCTATCTTTTTTTTTTTTTTTTTTTTTTTTAAATTTTGTTTTCTTGTAAAGATGCAGTACAGAGAGGTTATAGTTACATCAGTAAGGTAATGAGTCTGGAGCTTGAACTCAGGGCCTAGCCACTGTCCCTGAGCTTCTTTTGCTAGTACTCTACCACTTGAGCCACAGCTCCACTTCTGACCTTTTCTGATAGTTTATTGGACATAAGAGTCTGACAAATTTCCTGCCAGGGCTGGCTTTGAACCATGATCCTCAGATCTGAGCCTCCTGAGTAGATAGGATTACAAGGGTGAGCATCTGCAACTTACTCGTTTTTATTCCTTAGGTAAAATGTGACAATTCACATGATGCGTAGGAAATCATGTTGTATTGGGTAGGGTTTTTAAATTTACTTTTGTGCCATGGCTTGTTCTGCTTAGTGAAGAGCAGGAATAGTATGTGTCCATAGAAGTCTGTTCAGGGACCTTTTTGTTCTTGTTTATAAGTCCATTGTGAAGTGTGCGTGTTGCACTTGTGCAGTGCAGATAGTGACTGTACCTTACAAGAGTGTGGCAAGAATTAAATGAGTTAATATGCCCAGCACTTTGAATAGTCCCTACACATAGGAGGCATTGTTTGTATTAGGGATTGCGGTCATCATCATCATCACTGAAGTTGTTATATTATGTTTTCCTTCCCCTCTTACTCTTCAGCCCATCACGTGGAAAGAATTCGCAAACATCCACCCCTTTGTGCCTCTGGACCAAGCCCAGGGATACCAACAGCTTTTTCGAGAGCTTGAGAAAGATTTATGTGAACTCACAGGTTATGACCGGATCTCTTTCCAGCCTAACAGGTAAGGGGATTTCTTTCCCTCTTTTTTTTTTTTTTTTAAATAAGACTAGTTGTAAAACACCCACTCTAAAAGTCAGAGGCTTAACACAGTGATTATTTTTCTTCATTCTGTGCATTGACTGGACACTTCTACTCACCAGGATGGTGAGGCCTCACTCACATAGCTAAGAGGCTGGCGACGGTTTGTTGGCTGGAGTGTAGTTGGTGACTCTGAGCAGGGCCTAGATTTTTTTTTTTTTTCTGTATGGGCTTTTTCCTGTTGTTTCTTGAGCATCTTTACAGTGTGATGTCTGGATTCAAAATGGAGTGCTCCAAGAGAAAGCAGGCAGAAGCTGTGAAATGTTTACAGCCCAGCTTTTGAAGTTACACAGTACCTTGTTCTGTCTGTAATAATAAGCCACACATCCAACCTAGACTGGTAGTGGTAGCGAACAGCAGATGGTTCTGGACGTTGGGAGACATCTTTGGAAATGAACACCTTTGGAAATGAACACTTTGGAATTGACACCTGTCAATGATATCACATAAGAATAAGATTATAGCAGAGCACCAATGACTCATGCCTGAAATCCTAATTACTCAAGAGTGAGGATTGTGGTTTGAAGCCAGCCCAGGCAGGAAAGTCTGGGAGACTCTTATCTCCAATAAACTACCCAGAAAGAGCTGGAAGTGGCACTGTGGCTCCAGTGGTAAAGTGCTAGCCTTGAAGCTCAGGGACAGTTTCCAGGTCCTGAGTTCAAGCCCCAAGACTGGCAAAAAAAAAAAAAAGGAAGAAAGAAAAAGAATTAATACCATTACCAAGAAGCTTTATATTCAAACTGACTTGTGAAATAATAATAATAGCAGTAACAACAATAATAATAGAAGAAGAAGATTATTAGCAGTGTGTGTGGTGGGGTATGCTTGTAATCCTAGCACTTGTGATCTTAGGACAGGAAGATACTGAGTTACAGGCTAGTTTAGACAACATAGCAAGAATTTGTTTCAAAAATAGCCCAAAACAAATGAAACAAAAATATAAAAGAATAAGACTTTAAGCACACAAGGTAACTCCTAACAAAAACTAGCATCACAGTATAGTAGTACCCGAAGAGCTTGGGTTCTACTTTGGTTCTGTCACAAACTTTAAAAAGACCTCCCCTCTTCCGTCTTTTTTTTTTGGTCAGTTATGGGGCTTGAACTCTGGACCTGAGTGCTGTCCCTCAGCTCTTCAGCTCAAGGCTAGTAGCGCTCTACAACTTCAGCTTCAGTGTCACTTCCAGTTTTCCGGTGGTTTATTGGTGATGAGTCTCATGAACTTTCCTTGCCGAGCTGAAATGATGATCCTCAGATCTCAGCCTCCTGAGTAGCTAGGATTACAGGTGTGAGCCACTGGTGCTTGGCTAGCCCTCATTTTTAAAAATCTATAAATAGTGACTTTAAAAAGTACAAGCCAAGTCGGGTGCTGGTGGCTCATGCCTGTAATCCTAGCTACTCAGGAGGCTGAGATCTGAGGATCACGGTTCAAAGCCAGCCCGGGCAGGAGAGACCGTGAGACTCCTATCTCCAATAAACCACCAGAAAACCGGAAGTGGCGCTGTAGCTCAAGTGGTAGAGTGCTCGCCTTGAGCTGAAGAGCTGAGGGACAGCGCCCAGGCCCAGAGTTCAAGCCCCATGACCGACAAAAAAAAAAAAGTACAAGCCTTCAGCAAAATTTCCTTGGCACTTGCTAAAATACGATTTCCTGGGCCCACTCCAGACCTCCTGATTACAATATCCAGAAATTAGGACTACAAATCTTTCATTTCATAAATAGGAAGGAACTGACCAAATTTTTATGTACTTTTATTGACAATATCATTCAGCTTTTCAAATGTCAAAGTGAAGAAACTTCGCCCTCTAGTGGTACAATGTGATCACATCTTCAGTGTCCTAGGGTCATTTTTCAAGATTGTTTGCCATTAGCTCTTACATAGTTAAGGTGATTTCCTCCCCAGGATCCTAGAAAGCTTAGCTTTCTAGGAGAAGAGTCTCATGGATTTTTCCTGCCTGCTTGGCTTCAAACCACAATCATCTCATCTCAGCCTACTGAGTAGCTAAGATTACAGGAGTGAGCCACCAGTGTCCTGCTCAAGTGTATGTCTTAAAAGCTACTCCAGTGATTCCAACTAGCAGCCAAGGTTGAAAACTACCATCTTATTTTACTTCTGTCGAATACTCTGTCTTTGCCCTAATTTTTCTCATTTTTTTTTCTTTTTTTGTCAGTTGTGGGGCTTGGACTCTGGGCCTGCGTGCTATTCCTCAGCTCTTCAGCTCAAGGATAGTGCTCTACCACTTGAGCCACAGTGCTACTTCCAGTTTACTGAGTGGTTTATTGGAGATAAGAGTCTTGAGGACTTCCTGCCTGGGCTGGCATTGAACCATGATCCTCAGATCTCAGCCTCCTGAATAGCTAGGATTACAGGTGTGAAGCACCAGCCTTTTTTCGTTTTTCTCATTCTTTTTATTGATAGCCATTCCAGTCTTGCAGGAGGTTTAGGGATTTTTTTTTTTTGGACAGTCCTGAGACTTGAACTAACTCAGGGACTGGGCACTGTTCCTGACCTTCTTTAACTCAAGGCACTCTACCACTTGAGCCAGTATCACTTCTGGCTTTTTCTGTTTATGTGGTACTGAGGAATCGAGTATGCTAGGCAAGCACTTTACCACTAAGCCACATTCCCAGCCCTAGGGATCTTTATCAGGATAGAGTTTCTGGAAGTGATCTTATCTAGCTCCCCAGAGTCACTGATAGAGCATCCATTCCATAAAATGAGAGAGATGGACTGTGTACCATGTTTAGGCTTGTCTGACATATTCATGGTCCTAAGGAGGTGTTGCCATGTCAGAGGGTAAAATATTTTGTTAGTTGGGGCCATGCTTCAGGGAAAGGAGGAAAGGATGCACATGTATTCTGTATCAGTGAGGTGATCTTTTTATTGTTATTTTTAACAGTTTTACAATCTTGTTTTGGTTTGTTTGTGCTAGTCTCTGCATGGATGTATTATGTATTCTGGTTTTATTATTGTTCTGTACCCTAGAACTATCTAAACATTGGCTTGATTAATTCATCATTATTTACAGTTGACTAGTGTCACAGCTGAGGGATTTAGATGGGCTTCATATTCATTTTGTCTGTTTTTTTTTTTTTGGGTCCGGTTGTGGGGCCTGAACTCTGGGCTTGGGCACTGTCCCTCAGCTCTTCAGCTCAAGGCTAGCGCTCTACCACTTGAGCCACAGCGCCACTTCCAGCTTTTTTCTTTTTGCTTATGTGGTGCTGAGGAATCGAACCCAGGGCCTCATGCATGCAAGGCAAGCGCTCTACCACTGAGCCACCTTCCCAGCCCTTCATATTCATTATATGAAGAGACAAGATTTCTGGACAGCACAGAGAAAGAATTTAGTGCACTGTATCACCACAGAAGTGCTGTTCACAGAGGAGGTGGTCATAACTGTCCCAGGACCATCTCCTAGAATGGTGATTTATACCTAATCGGAGTTAGTTACACTATTTATACGTTCCTAAGAGTCTAGTCATGAAACAGTTTTGAATCTGAAGATGTTTACTCTGGTGTTACTCTATGATTTAAAAAAAATATATATATATCTATATATATCTATATCTATATATAGATATATATATATAAATGCAACATTTAGGAAATAGCCTTAGTGATAGAGTTAATTTTTATAATTGTTGTGTTTTTGTTGTTGTTGTTTTTTAATTTTTGAGACAGGTTCTTGCAAGCTGTGCATGTCAGGGTGCCCTCAAACTCTAGATCTTCCTGCCTCAGCCTCTCAAGAACCATTTGCTGTCATGAGCCTTATCCTAGTTATTCATTTATTTGGTCAAATCACAAACCCAGGGAGTCTCTTTATAGCTTGGGATAGACAAGATCCTATGCCTGTTTCAGCCTCTCATGTGCTGAAGCTTATCCCTGATTTTTCATTTATTTGCTCAAACCACAAGCTCTTTATAACTTGGTGTAGAGAAGAGTCAAATAATGTTGAATTCCCTTTCCATCTTCCACTGAGCTTAACATGATTCACTTTGACTTGTTCCTGTAACATTTTGCCACCTTAAAATCCCTCAGCAGCAGACAAATGCATAGGAGTTATTGGTTAGGAGTTATAATGTTGGGGCTGGGAAGGTGGCTCAGTGGTAGAGTGCTTGCCTTGCATGCCTGAGGCCCTGGGTTCGATTCCTCAGCACCACATAAGCAAAAAGAAAAAAGCCGGAAGTGGCGCTGTGGCTCAAGTGATAGAGTACTAGCCTTGAGCTGAAGAGCTGAGGGACAGTGCCTAGACCTATAGTTCAGGCCCTACGACCTGATCCCCCCCGCAAAAAAAAAAAAAGTTATAATGTTTAAGGGAGACAGGAATAGTTAACACCTTCCATGGGACACACAAGTGAAAGACAAGACAGAATTACAGTTAACTCACTTGGCTTCTAAAGTTGAGAAAATGGTTTGTGTTTTGTTTTTGTTTGTTTGTTTTTTAAACTGGCAAATTGTGATCATTAATAACATTGAGATGGACACTGGATTGCTTTTCCAGAGTCTCATCTTGAGAAGGTTCTTAGTCTAAAGTGTGACCAGGCCTGCTAGTGACTCTCAAAACTTACTGTGCCTGAGAAACATCTGGAAGGGTTCTGAAATTGCTCAGCCCCAGGGTTTCTGACTCAGTCAGTCTGAGAAAGGGCCCCCAAATTTATACTTCTAGCAAATTCCCAGTGATGCTGGACACCACACCGTGAAAAGTGTTCTAAGCTGGACACCAGTGGCTCACGCCTGTAATTCTAGCCACTCAGGAGACTGAGATCTGAGGATTGCGGTTTGAAGCCTGCCTGGGCAGGAAACTATGAAACTCTTACAATAAACTACTCGAAAAAGCTGGAAGTGATAGAGTGCTTGCCTTGAGCAAACAAGAAGTTTAGTGACAGCACCCAGATCCAGAGTTCAAGCCCTAAGACTGGCCAAAAAA